GAAACCAAGAAGCCGGAAGCCACTAAGCCAGAAAGGCAACAAATTGCCTTGTAAGTCGTAAATATTTTTTTTGATCCTTTTTAAAAAACTTTTTGATCCTTTTTAAATTTTCTTTTGACCCCTCTCCCCAATTTCGACCGCCCCGGCCTAAAACCCCCACACTCCCCACAGATCTCGCTTGCCCGTCCCCTTCCCGCCCCCCCGCCCCCATTCTGGTCCAATTCCGACAGTCCCTCCTCTCCCCTTCCCCAAGTAGTACCCACTACCGAATCCTCCTCCCTGCAGCCCAAAGGTCCAGTGACACCCGCTTTTGGGGTCGAATTTCGAGACTCAGTCCCTGACTGAGCGTAACACTCAGCCGCCGCAGTCAGGCTGAGGCGGGCGGCGTAGCGGCGTAGCGTTAGAAGTAGTAGTTTAGCCAAGCCAACCATGCATCCTGACCCCTTCAGCCGCGCTTTGCCGTCTCTTCTCTGTCACGGTAATCTGGCCTATGACTTATGAGCCGCCTGGATGGGAGACCTGCTTGTCTCGTAGTGTAGGTCTACACGACAGCAGAGTTCGCAGTCCCAGCACAGCTCATGTCGAAACATATTTTTGCCAGGCAGCGGTAAAAAAGGGGATCAAGCTCTTGACGACCTCGGCCCACTACCAAAAGAACTTGTGCGGCTTCTACGGGAAGCAGGACTAGTACGTACTGTAGAACGAGGAGTGCAGGGGAGCGTGTGGCACATCCTCTGTTGGCGACCTGATCTCATACAAGTAAGGACTTTTGGGACTGGCCTCGACAATGAATGGCTGACCAGGTCTGAGGCCACCTGCGTATGTCAGCGTTATGCCGGAGCACATCCTTAGAATGCTGGGGGCCAACTTTGCAAGATGAATCTTTTCGCTTCGGGGTTCCAGTGGACTTACCCGGCGCACAGCTGCTTCGCACCTATGTATGTCGCACCACCTAGTTTGCTTCCGAAAGGTGGCTCAAACCATTGACGCCACAGGAGTGTTCACGTAGTCAGTTCCGGAAGCTTCGTCAAACTGAATGCAAGTCTTCAATGCTGTTTGCTTCTTCAGCTACAAAGTATTCGTTGCAATGCTGCAAAGGAGTTGAGAAGAAAACGCAATACCTGTGGACCGTCAGGCCCATGCAACCGCTAAGTTCACGGCATACTCATAGAGTTGAGCAGGTTTGCCACCATCAGAAGCACTGATGGCAAAAACAACCTGCAGGCAGTCTCGCTAGGAACGAAAAGCGAAAGCTGGACACGAAGGCTTCCTCTTGCAAAAGCCTACTGAACATCTTCTGAAAGACCGCAGAAGTCTTGATGGAGGGCATTTTGGGTCTCGCTGGTGCCGCTGCACACGCGGTGCCCAATCCCAATGCATGGCCACATCGTGAATTAAGGGCATGGAAAACGGCAGACTCTGTGGTGACACAGTTGAATGCGGGCTCTCTTCGACATGTTCTTCCATAGCCTCCGCTTTTTTGACCAGAGCCAGGCCCGATCACAGCCCCCACGCTGCGTGTGCAACGTGCTCAAAGACTCTGCTTCCGGGGTTTCAGGCGCTTGTCGGGTCTCTCGAGCGAGAACCAACCTACAAACGATGCAAGTGCCTGCATCCGTACGCTCACTGGCCGCCCGAAGCCCCGTGACATTAACATGTGGTCGCACACGTTTCAGCTGTTGAAACCTTCTGCATACATACGCTGCCTGCGCACCGGCCCATGCTCATTATCAACTCTTGGCAATACAAACCGACCACAAGCCTTCATGTCTGAACCGCAGAGGAAAAGTGAAACGGCTTCACCGGCGCTTGAAGAACGCGTGATTCCTTGCATGCGACTTGTGGCAGGAATGAACATGCATGCTGCTCCACTACCCTTCGTACTGCGCTGAAATGGGCTTGTCAAATGCAATCGTGATCCAGCAATCTTTGTCCATCCTGCTGTGGCCACGATGACATTACAAACTACAAAACGTGTGATTTGTAGTCTGCCCCGCTTCGCCCACCTATCCCCTCTCCACGTACTACGACGATGGTGTAGACTGGTACTAGTATTAGAACTGTACTAGTACTAGTACAAGCACGCGTACGAGCACTAGTACGAGTACTAGTACGAGCACGACTGCAAGTACTAGTTATAGTGCTAATACTAGCACACAAGGCTAGTAGCTGCAGAAGTAGTAGTAGTAGT